AGAGAGAGAGAGAGAGAGAGAGAGAGAGAGAGAGAGAGAGAGAGAGAGTGTGTGTGTGTGTGAGAGAGAGAGTAACATTAAAGAAAGAAAAGGGCAGATTTTTAATTTTAAGTTGGAAACCGATAATATCATTGTTGATTTTAAAGGAGATTTAACACAAACAATTTAATAAATACTAATTCTTTAACAAAGTTCATTCAAACATCATATTTGCTATAACACCGGTTCATAATTACACGATCAATCCACATAAATCATTACATGTATAAGATGCTTCCATTGTCATGGACCAAAGTACATTTTACCTTTGATTACAAACTATTTCAAACCACAAAATATACATGTAACTGACAAAAACCATATACAGGAAGAAATATTCAAGTTCTGGCAGAAAGCATAACCAAACGTACAGTCACAGAGAAAAAAAAAAAGCAAATTAATAAACAATTTTGCTTATCAATTAGTTAACAAAATCTATCGATTGATTCAAAATTTTCATACCACTTAGCAATTTTGCACGAATACAAAAATATCTTATAAGAAAGCAAAAAGCAATTAAATAATATAATCTAATACTCATTAGTTATATATTGATTATAATATCTATCAGTTGGATTACATGATACAGAGATAAAAAAGAGAGGATAAATCATGATACATAACTAAAAAAAATAAGAGTATAAATCATTGAGAGTTAGTTCTTTGGTTTATATTTATCATAGCGTATAGAAGGACAAAAATATTTGAGAAATAGTGGAAACATCTTCGATTAAGACTCTTGCACCCTATGCATTATTAACGGCTAACCTCATAAACTCAGACGTCTCCTCGTCTTCTTCAATATGTTCCATTGTCGACTCAATTTGTTCTTCATTTTACCGCTTAGATTTAGGTTAACGCTATATGCTTCTCGTTCTCATAGATATGTTCTCTTTCCAACAGAATCATGCTTATAATGGAATTACTGTATATGCACTTGGGCATGCCCCTCCTGAATCTGCTGCCCCTGTGTCGTTGCCCAAGCCGCCCATGCCCTGGGTCGGGTCTAGAAATTTAGCAACACATAGATAAGTTGGGTTACTAATCAATAACAAAAACACAGATGGAATCACAAGGGTAAACTAAAAATCATCAATTCAAAGCAAGGAAACTTACGATTTACTGAATCACAAAATCAAATTTTAATTATCATATATGTGGTCATGGATCTGATCGTTATTTTGGACTCGATGTTTTTCCCTTCTCCTTTGCTTTTACTTATGGGCTCGATGTTCTCCAATAGTCTGAGACAGAAAAAAATCAAGAAAAGACGCTCCTTAAAAGAGGATATGGGCTTGATTCAGGATGGTGAGAGAGTAGGTCGAACCTAAAAATGTAATACTTTTAAAAAAACTACAAAAATACATTCAAACAAATACCATCAGACCAACCATTAACTCAAATTCAAAACATAGATTAGACAGTAGAAGAACAATGAATTGTTGATTCTTGAATCTACACAACTAAACAAACACACATCTTCTCTTCTAATAAATGACTCTTTCACACGACACATGTCAATTTTCTATACTTTTTCTTTGCCACGTGGCATGTTGTAGTTCATCCTTGCTTTGTTTTTCCGCTCATTTTGAA